TTTTTATTGAATTATCCATTAATTATCACTTACAAGTATATCAAGACTTCAATTTCACTATTAGAATATCTGTTTAAGACTTTTACTCCCATTGTCATTCTCTTTAATCTCAAATTACTTTATAATTTTATATATTTCACTTACTTATAGAAAATATTGGAGCAATATCAATTAATCAAATCATATATCTATTATTTCACAAATTACTTCAACTTGATTTTAGTAAGATATATATTAGCTAACTGAGATAAAAAGTTAGATTGAAATTATTAATAATTCAAAGCAAATTATTATAACATGAGATAAAAATATCTATTTTTTATGCTTTATTTTTTCTAATACAATCAAATTTTTCAAAAATAACTGCAAATTTGGGCTGCTCTTAAATGCAATTATATCTATATTATATAAATTATTACAAAATAACTAAAAATCTAACTATAAATAAATATTTAGTTGTAATGATTTAACAGACTGAAATTAAAAATTATTATATTTAATTATTAATTATCTAATAAAAATTCACAAGAAAAGTTTGTGCATTATGATTTTCATTCTGAATATGCTTATAGATGACAAATATAGAAAAATATGATCCAAGAAATTTGTGAAATATATCTTCAATATGAATATGGAGGTATTAAATGAAAAGTTATATACTAAATCTACAGATATCTATAGTTTTGAAATGGTTGTATACAAAATTATAATTGATTATTAGATATTTATAATAAAGAATAATCTAAAATATCAAAAAAATTCTCAAATTATGTAAATATATTATTAAAATATGTTAAGATAATATTTTATAAACAGATTAACTATTGAGAAACTTGAAGAGTTTCTGAGAATAAATAAATAGAAATTAAGAAAACTTGATGAGATAGAACAAAGATGAATTTATATAAATAAATAATTCATCTAAATACAATTTGCACAAATTAAATCTTTTAATGTTAATTCCAAGACTTAAATATTTAGATTCTACATATATTAAATTTTTGCAAAATAGCATGTAGGATATAATTTCAAATTTTGACCTGAATTAAGCTTAATGTAAAAATATGATAAAAATTATAAAGTCTTAAAATAAGAGTGTTATTATAGCTTTGCTTTTAATATTTATATTCTATCTTTATGGAAAATAATATAATGCTTATTCAATTTTTACAATGATAAAACTTCCAGCCATATATAATTTCTATCTGTGTTTGTAAGTACATATTAGTATGTAAATTTTAAGTTTTAACATTGTGTCTAATTTGATTAGCTCATATTTTATAGGATAATAATAATAATGATTCATATTTGAAGAATTTGAAAAGCTTAAAACAATTATATTTCTTGATGAATATTGCTTTTTCTATAAAAACACTTATTTTTTGCTTTAATTATTTAATAATACTAAATAACAATTTTAATATGAATTTTATAATAAATACAAAACAAAATATAGTAAAAATATATCTGCTAATATACATATTATCATGGCTAACAAATTTAAAAAAGTATAGGTAAGAAGTATAATTACATCTTTCTAAGTGCTAAAGAGTGATATGGCAAGTTTTATAAAATTTAAATTCAGTTTTTGTTTAAAAAAATCTTGTAATCATATCAATAATGTAGTAAACTCGCGCTAGTTCTATGTACAATTGCATATGAACCATGTAAATTTGCCTTTTTATTATATTATAATACTATGTGTAAATTTTCAAATTTACTTTTTTACTATACTATAATACTATGTCAATAGTAAATGTTCTTTATTTATCTTTACTTAATAAAGTGACATTTTTCATAAATTAATTTCCCATTAAACAATCATCTATGTAACATACTACCCTGAAAGTGTCACCCTCAAAAATTAATAATCTAAACCTGTCTATAACTTACACACAAGTTCTACTGAGATTAAACATACTCTCCAGAATTTTTGCTCCACATTACATATGTATATCTATATCGATAAGTTTATCATTCCAATATATTAGAAAAAAAGATGAGATGCATTTGATTTTCATTTACGTATGACATCTGTTGTTGTTTGAAAAACTTCTGTTTGTGAGAGTGTAAATCAATTTCTGTACTAAACGATAGTGATTGTTCATGACATAAGAAATGTAACTATAAAAAAGATTTTAGTGCCTCTAACAGCAGTTAAATATAACTCCTTCCTAAGACTAATAGCCTAAAAAGTCTAAAAAATATAATAATATAGTCATTCTTAAATGATCCATATGAATGTTTTAATTAGTGAAATTTTAACTCCAAATTTTTTTTCAGAGAATCAGGAATGATCATTCATGTAATGGTCATTAATTCGATAACACACAATTTAGAAAGCTAAAATCATAAGTTTTCAAACTACGTAAAAATATGTCAAACCCAACCAACACTCACAGAAATTGCCAACTTACGGATTTTGAGCGTGGCAAAATAATTGGTGTTTTTGAGAAAGAAATCGGAGAAGATATAGGATGGCCCAAATCATCCACAGTTCCATAGTTTGCTGTCCGACGTTGCAGAAGACAAATTTTAAATGTTAGAACATCCGAAAAATGTTTAATATTGTAAAAGAAAATCAACAAATAAGCATTAATGAAATTATCAAAAAAAAATTCAATATAGCTTTGAAAATTTAAATTAGTTCTAAAAACCATATGTCGTAATCTTTGGTCGAGTTGGACTAAGAAAACCTTTTATACCCAAGAAAATGACTAAAAATGATTAAGAGAGAAAGACCGGGTTCTCGAATGGGAATTAAGGGTGTTAAAAACTCATCGGACTCTGGTCCAAGTTTGAGTATGAGTTTAGACTCGAAGAACACAAAAATAATTATGTCTAAAGGCCACATGATATCAGGTGCTAATATATATGATACGTTTTTGCCGAATAAAATTCAGAATTCGATTGTAAAAATGTAAACAAAAATTATTACATGTACTAAGGCAACTTCGATAAAACCGACTATTAATAAAGTTCGTTTTACCAAGATTTAATTAGTAACGGTAAATTCGGTTATCGAGAAAGATTTACTATCTAATGATAACTGTTTCTGGACAAAAGCCGGTTTATCATGGTTTTAATTAGTGTTTCGGTTTATCGAGGTTGTCTTAGTACATGTAATTTATTTATTGCATAATTATGACAATCATTTCAATTAGTCCACAACATATAACATAATAGCACGAAGTTTGCTCACATGTCGTACTTTTGACAAAGTCTAAATTAAAACTCGACTTCTGGAGTCGAGTCGGACAGAGTCGAGCATTTTAGCACCACTAATAGGAATTAGTAATTGATCAAGATGTTTAGTGATTTATAGCAATAGGTTTGGTATTGATCCCATGAGAATATGGCTTGATTCTTTTCTTCCTTTATTCGAAATATACTTGGACCACTAATCAAAGTTGAAAATACAATAGCTGTCAAAAAGATGCAGAAATATTCGAAAAGCTTCTTAAACTATTTTCAATTGTTTAGATGAATTTCCAGCTAGTTCTATTCAAGATGATATCCAGTTCACAGGAATGATTCTATTAATAAATGAAGGAGAGTAATCTAATAAAACGCCACTTCATGAACTGCCCAAAATCTTGATCTAAATACAATTGAAAATTTATGGGATTTTTTGAAAAGAGAGATTCATGTATGACCAATTTGCTCAAGAAATCAAGAAAACTTAACCAAATTTTTAAAAAAATTTGATTGTTAGTATGCCGAGAAAAGTTCAAGCTGTAATTAATGCAAATGGATATTAAAATATATATATGAAATAACCCTACTTTTGCCAAATATGTGGACGTTAGGGCATAAAAACCGCATGAACCGACACTTTATTTGCGCAACTAATAATAAAATTGTATAGTTATAATCTTTCTTAGCAGCATTTGCTTTAAATTCTTGATCGATTATTATGTGTTTTGAATACATTGTCGTGTCGTGTATCATACCATTTTATACTTGCTTTCTATTTTTGTGTGCAATAAAAAAATACTCTTGATATGTAATTTTAATTGGATGATCTTATCTTTTAACAACATCATAATTCATCTCGGTTGTGTTGCTCAAAGTTTCGCTTTAGAGCCAAAAGACCTTCACCAAAATTCTTTTCTATATCTTTTACAAATCTATAAATATCTGCAGCTTTAATACATTTATTATAACTAAGGTTAAGCAATTTACGTTAAAGTTATCAAATCGGTTCAAGTTAAAAGACACTTAATTTTCAACCCAAAAGAGACAATTTTATGATATTATAATTTCGTGTAGCTTCATATCAAATCCTGAGGGTTCTTGTAAATTAAATTCAAAAAAAAAAATGAGAAATTAATGAACCACTGAGTTAGCGAGAAAGAATTACTAGTTTTTATAAAATAGAGATAATAAACGAGGAAGTTATAGACAAAATATTGAAGGAATTACTGTTAAAGCGAATAAAATCCAAGAATTCTTTTTGTTATGATGTCAAAATTCAATTTTTTAGCAAAAAAGCCTACTTATCTCTGTCGATATTTATTTTAAAAGAATTATTTAGTGGCTCAAATTCAAATTTTAAAGGGCTAAAAAGCACATCAAGTGGTCAAAAAATATTCTCACCAATTTCACAATCATCACACAATTTAGCAAAACTAGCACTAGTTTTTTCCTGGTATTAGATTCGATTAGAAGGGTGATAGAAAATTTTTGTGTCTAATGTTCACATCATTTCTTACTCGTCTATTTTATTATGTAATAAATCAAAATACATGTATAATTTTTCAACTTACAATTACTTTTGTAAATGAAAACTACAATAAAGCATTTCCCCTATTACACATGTGTATAAAAGAAACCTAATAAGGAAATGTTCGCCACATAAATAATAATTTAATGGGACTATCAATCATCTCGTCAAACAAACATTGTACATGTACATGTATTTATTCGTTGTTCTTTAATCAAAAACTAGGGTGTAATTAAATTCTGAGAAATCAACTATCTTCCCCCAGCTTAACAAAATGGAAATTGACTCGATATTTAAATTATTACCCACAGAAATTCGTCAAGAAATATTTAAAAATTTTGACAAAGGAACTTTATTCAAATGTCTATTACTTGATCGGCAATTTTGTCGTGAAATCGTGCCGATTCTTTGGGAAGCACCGTTACTAGAATCTAGTATTTTAAAGCAAAGAACTATCAGTGCTGACAAACAAATGAACAACATCATCGGTGTTTATGTTAGAAGCTTCACGAATACGACATGGATGTATCTCTATACAAATGGAAATGGCATCCGACCACAAAATACCCGACAACCAACCTTTAATTATGCTTCTTTTTTGCGCCATTACGAACCAAATTCAGTATATATCGCGGTAGGCGTATGGTTGCTTCGTAATAGTATGCGAAATGATCACATAAACTGCAAGCTTGTTGCGAGTTCCTTGTGTAAACTCTTCCTAACTGAGTCGAATTTGTTGCGATCCTTGCATTACGACTTTGAGAATGACAAGGATTTTTGGGATTCGATTCCTCAGGACTGTTCAGCCCAAGTATTATTGAAAAACCTCAAAGAATTAAAGATTCATGAATTCTCTTTCGAAAAGCATCAACCAATGTTTTTTGAAAATCTGGCGAATGCTTGTCATTCAATTCGTGGAGTCACACTTGAAGCAAACTCAATTTCACCCCTTCAAACTCAAGACATACGAGTAAACAAACATACTGTCGAAGGGTTAAAAAAGGCTCTAAGTGCGCAAAGTGAATTGCAATGGATTCGCATATATTCTTTTCCAAGTTATGCTATCAAACTCATCTGTCATGCTCTAAATCCGTCAGCTGAAAAATTACGGGCTATACAATTTTCCGGTATCAATTTCGAATATTATAGAGCTGAGAACATAATTTCAGGATTGAGTGCTTGCATCAATCTGCTCTGTCTAGATTTTATAAATTGCACTTCATTAGAGCAGCAATATTGGTATGAAGCCGCACAAAATTTTCAGAAACTGGAATATTTGTCAATTCAGTCATCAGCGTCTCATGAGATGCCAGTAAATCTAATAAAGGAGATAATCAAATCAAGTGGAGATAGTCTTCATTATCTTCGCATACAATGTCATGAAAATAACAACTTTGCTGATGTTTGCTACGAAATTCTTCCTTTGATCCTTGCTTATTCATACAATTTATCCGCAATCGATCTGATTAATATGGGCGTAGAAAACTTGACCGACCTATTCAATGCATGTCCGAATCTTGAGCATCTGAATGTGTATTCAAAGAATCTCTTACAGGCATTTAGAGTTTTGTCTCGAAAACTTGTACCTAATATCAAATCGCTTGAAATTCACGTCGCGTCTTATCAAGATCTCGTTCCATATTATCAAGAATTACCAATAGGGGAAGAAGCGCTCTTTGATTTTCTAGAAGTCATTTGTCAAAATGTTAAACGTCTATATCTTCCCACTATCATGATTGATAATGAATATCAAAGAAATCTAGCTGACATGTTTGGCATTAAAGTAACTTGCGGGTCAATGAATGATAGTAAGTGTTTTGGTTATTTCTTCTTCAGTTTTTATTGCAAGATATTTTTTATTTTATCTTTTCTTATAAATAGGTATTTATCCGGATTATTTTCCAAAATATTATTGATGGGATTTTTTATAGGGAGGATAAATTTGTATTATCAATAAAAGAACAATTTTATATTAGCAATAAGAACAATATTTATTTATTTATAAATTGGAACTATTTTGTGCACAACAAAATTTACCTTTAATATAGATCAATATTATCTTTATTAAACCCATCCCATATACATAGCAATTTGCAAATTAGAGATTAATTACATGTGTAGAAATTTTATACATCCCTTTTCTTATATGTAAAAATTACATTTGAACTTTTACCTTTTTACAATAAAGTTAGACTGGGTTAGCGGAAAGTTGATTTGTGCGCGTCAAATGCTGATTGAAAAATTGTTAGATTTTAAATGAAAGAATAGAACTGAATTGCGCTTTGTTGAGGACGTATTTTTTGCACATTGAAATAATTCTATTTCATTACATGTACATGCACATGATGCACAAACATAATTTCAGGTACACGTACCTGTATTATCCATTGCAAATCCCCATGGCGAATAAAAGAACTTCCAACAAAAAAAGCTCGGGCATGTGACTTTTAAGGGTAAACAATCAATCGTTTGTTACACATTGATCTTGCGATTTGATTGGTTTACCCATTTCTTTGCGTATAACAATAAAAAAAATTTTGCAGTTCATCGTCTTCTGCAGCTTCACATTGAGCTCGGGCTTCAAACTAATTAAAAAAACAAAATTTGTACCTTTTTTAAATACAATTGAATCTAGATATAACGAGCCTTGATATAGCAAACACATAGTAAATTCTCGATATAAGAAAATTTATTTTCAGCTCCTTTATATCAAATAGGTCTTGGTATTCTGAAACTATCAGTGAAATAACGAATTTTGAAAAATTTGGGACTAGCAGCGCAGCGCAATCCCTTCGTTGTATCGAAGTTCATCAGTACAGCTTTGGAATATAAAGTATAAAATTGAATCAGTATT